GGCGAAATGGAAGACGTCCAGAAGCTAGCACCATTCACTCATCTATCATTCCCTAAACAGTATGAATGACAGCCCTGACACAATACTGGAAAACTTACTAAATGAACAAATTCAGGAAAAGGGAAATGTTTACTTTTAATAATGATTAAGGTGTTAACTCTAAAAAATACACACACAATAATATAGAAACTACCACAAACGAAATTGCTGCCACGAATCCATCACAAAAACAAAACTTTATGTAAATTTATTAACAGTGAAGAATGCAACCAATCTTGCAGACTTATCCCCAGCTCCATCCTGCTCAATTTACATATTGAGAAACCCATATCTTAGGTGGAGTTTGAATTCTAGAATCATCACTTGGGCAAAAATTGAGTATAATCATAATTTGACATACAAATCTGTTAAGAAGACACACAATGCTCAAGTCAGATATACTTTATCATGGAACATTTAAGTCTGTATCTCAATAAGCCCAACACAACTTATTTTTGTTCCAGAATTACTACTACCAAAGACATGGAAGTTTTCTCAGTAGAGAACCTGATGAAGTAGATGGCTGTAGATAAGGGTCATGGGTGAAATTTTCATATTTCTTTATTAAAAAAAGCTGGCAGTAAAGTGGGTAAAGTGCTCGGCTGCACACCAAAAGGTCAGCCATTTGAACTCACCAGCCTCTCCAAGACAGAATAATGTGGCAGTCTGCTTCTGTAAATATTTACAGCCTCAGAAATACTAAGGGGGCAGTTCTACTCTGTCCTCTAGGGTTGCTATAAGTCAGAATTGACCAGACAGCAGTGGGTTGGTGGATATATATCTTCATAAGGTGCCCTGGTAGACCAATGGTTAAGCACTTGACTGATAATCAAAAGGTTAACAGTTTTAATCCACCTAGTGGCTTGCAAAACAATGAGCTATATGATTCCATTGAGATCACAGCCTAGAAAACCCTATAAGGTAGTTATAGTCTATCACATGGGGTCACTATGAGTTGAAAATAGAACCAACAGCACCAAAGAACAACAACAATATATATTTTTATATACTAAAACCACAATTAGAATGAGGAAGCATAAGAATGGGCTGAAACAAACCAAAAGACTAAGGAAAGAACAGAGTTATATCTTCCACAAAGTGGACCAGTGTAGAAAGTAAGCTAATGAAGTGAAATTTCTTCAACTAATTGCCATAGAAATGAAGAAGGGAGCAATATTATAAATCAAAAGAACCTGGTAGAGATAAAGCAAGGTATATACACAACCTTGGAAC